AGCAGTTGGGGTTAAGGGCCTTGCTCAGGAGCCCAACGAAGTAGGATTCCTCTGCCGGCTGCGGGATACTGCGGGATACTGTATGAACCGGCAACCTTCCAGCCACAGGGGCAGATCCTTAGCCACAGAGCCACCCCTCCGCCCCAGTGTGGGCTATAATAGCAAAACAACTGCAAATGCACACTTTTAGGAAGCCATCCCACCTAAAACAGGATTTTTAACACTTACTTTCCAAATAGAAAAAATCTTCCTTTTCGGTCTGGTTTGGCATCCGTTGCATCACCTGAAGGCTCCATGCTCTCTTCTACCTCAGGAACAACAGATTTGTCTGCCATCTGTGTGGCAAGAAACATCTTGCATAAAAATTTAAGTGGAACGTATAAACAGGCACATAACTAAAATGAAACCGTGTGCAAACTGAGCCTATGATCTTAATAAAAAATAACGATGCCAGTATTGTATTTCTAAAGAAATTAAGCTAACAGAAGATATGTTCAGTACACACTTTGGACTGAACATGTGCAAAGCATATCTGCAGGAAAGGAGAGTCCATCCATTAGTTAAACCTCAAATTCACAACGAACAATACAGATCCCATCCTGGCCACTGAACATGGGAATCTGGTCTATCCTTGTTAAGATGTAGCTTGTTCATACTGTATATGGCAGCATTCCTCAAGATGGCTTGTTGTAGATGCTGTGCGAGCATGAGGTGACAGTGCCACTTCTGCTTGTTACCCAGGCCTGCTTTTCTCCGAATAAGAGCTGTAACTGTATTCTCTGTATTAAAGGGAAACTGCAACACTATTTTATTTCAGTGTGATAAAGAATCAGCACTGATGAGTGGATTTTAGACCACATTGAAAGTAAAATGTACACAGTAACATGTAAAACCTCTAATTAAAATCACAAAATTAACAACATTTCGAGGTATTCGCAGCACCATATTTCCGTCATATCAACTGCATGCTGTGTTAACAAGTAAGTAGATCACAGAACTTTTCTGTAGTGAAATGTCTGCTGCTCAACCTATACTTATATGCTTATACATCGCATTACATTCGTCAGTGACTAGTGAGCAGGAAGGGCAGATTTTACATAATAATTCCCGCAAACTCTTGCTCTCGTCCGTGGTGAGCCCAGTGGTTTGCAACAACATGGCGATTATCCAGTACTTTAACAAAGTTCACTATATTGTTCTTAATCCAAAATTTGACATTTTTTGTGATACTGTCAATTCATTTTGTTATTGAGATTTCATAACTGGTCTGAGAAATTGAGATTGCAGTTCCCCTTCTAGACATGCGTGTTCAAAGAGGACATGGGAACCAACCATGAGTGTTTGTGCCTTAATGTCCAAGCATGAATGGACATTAAGGCACAGACACGGTATGAAAAGTATCCAGTCTAGAGGCTTGGAGGCAGCATCACTGTTTGCAGAAGATATTGTCTTTGCCTTATCTGACTGTGATCTCCGACACAAGACTGAACATTTCACTGCTGAGCGTGAAGCAGCTCAGATCAGCATCTCAAAGTTGGAGGTCATCATCCTCTCCCATTAAAAAGGAGATTGCTCTTTTTTTGTGAGAGGCAAGAAGCTGTCCTTAGCGAAGGAGTTCAGGTACCTAGGGGGCTTGCTACTTCGTAATAACAAGTGGCAGTGAGGACTGACAGATGGATGCATTGTCAGCATTGTTGAGGGCACAATCCCAGTTCGTGATGGTGAAGCAGGAACTCTGCCGATAAAGATCTGCAGGATTATCTAAGTCCCCATCCTCCCCTATGATCAAGAACATAGGGCAATGCACAAAAGGAGGTTTGGTAGCCAAGCTGATGGGCTTCCTTGCTGAGACAGCGTCACAGTCAAAGGAGACAGAAGCGAATTTATCCTCCACATTGAGAAGAGCCAGCAGAAGAAGCAATAGACAAATGTGAATCAGTGCAGTTTGAAACAGATATGGGTCCTACAGAAAGAGAGATAAGCTTTATCCTCAAACATTCAGAATGAATGATGGACTCCCTCTACACAGCAGTCAATGCATTGCAATTTGCCTCTAGGATGGACAGATGTATTGCCTAACCAAACAGTTATAGAAAATAGATTTTTCAGCTTAAAAAATTTAATGTTTCCCTTTCCAATCTCATTTGCTCTATATATGCTCTCAATAATGGTTCTATAATACTAAATGAGATTTAGTATTCCACTTTAATTATTGGAAATAACTTTTAATTATACTATATAATCGTGTACAAAGACAACGTCTAGCTCAGCATAATGTTCAGGTGTATAAATTGACAGTAGCTTCTTAAATACAAGCGGCAGTAATGTAACATTAAGGTGTTTACAATTGAAGAAGTTGGTTATTATTTACATACATGTAGAAATGTTAGTACTTCAATGTACTTAAAAGAAGGGCTATTCACACTAAAGTTATAAAGGCCCTATTTTTTCCCAATCCCTATTCTTATCTTAATTAACTTACAACAGAATTTTCGGTCCTGATCAAACTATCTGTTAAAATGCTACAGCAACTTCGAAACACACTTTGTAGGTTTACTTCGGGGGAGAAAAGAAAACATTTGAGATGTTTTAATTGTGATATCTTACACGTGTCTTTAATGTTCATTCATAATGACACACTGATTTTCGTCTCGTCTAGTTAACATTAGTATTATAAAATAAAGCATTTTAAGATGAATCTACAAGAGCAGAGCTACGTAAAAATGTTACTTGATTTAAAAAAAAATCAAAATGGTAGTTTGTCATACTTACTTTTTCTAAATTTTGCAGCTGCTTTTTTCTTTGCAGTTCTTTAATCTTCCAGTCTATATTGAGCGTTTTCTCTTTCGTTTTCGCGTAAGTTAACTGATAGAGCAGTTACAACGAAACAAACAGGAAGTAATGAAAGTATTTTTTAGTTTCGACCAGCTTCCCAATAAGGAAGCGGGTTTATTTAAAGGTCCTGCCTTCTATTACGAAAGACGTGAGAATTTAACTCGAACGTTCATGCACCATTCATGTAAAACATCAACCATAAAGATGGTGTAAGAAATGTATAATTATTAGCATGTTTTCAGTCATTCTGTTTTCAGTGTTTGGATCAGTAAGCTAAAATAAATAGGTAGTCTAACATGATAACTATTATACATTAGGACTATTTAAAAAGGGGTTCATACGGTAGCTGAAAGGCAATGTGCATCAATTTGATTATACTGTATACAGTGTGTTCAGTGGATTTCACCTTTGCCTACCACACTTAACACTAATTTCAGAAAGGAATAGAAAACAATTGTTTTGGGGTGTGACTGAAAAGACAGACTTACAGCAGATACTGAGGTACAATGGCTGTCTCAAAATTGCTTTATGAAATTAAAGCCATGTGGCCTTTCAATATAATACAACTGTCATTCTTAGGTTATTTGTTAAAAAATAGATTAAGTACTGTACATGCCAGTTCAAAGTCTGACTCATAGGACAATAGTATGAGGGTTTATTCTCTGGTGTAAAAGTTTCCGCAGATAAGGACTATCAAAATTCATCCAAAAAGTCTACACAAGGCGGTTAGATTTGTTCCTGTTTTCTGAATTTCCTGAATTCTGTTCACAAAATGGTGAAAACAATTAACTCTGAAACAAAAAGCTTAGAAAAACTTTAAACATTTAATGAAACAGTGAGAAGAAAATGTGGTGAAGTGTACAAAATTGCAATGCTTCTACTTGCTTAAAGCAAAGGTTTTGAAGACTTTAAGAACAAAAAATTCAGTGTCAGCCAGACAAAGACA